TTCATCTGCAAGTATGCCATTGAGTTTCTTCTCATTCATGGTGACTAACCAGTCCAGTCCAATGTGCTGGTACTCACGCAACGTACCATGAAGCAGGAATGGGATTGGTGTTTTGACCTTGTGTTAAAAAGAAACCACACAAGTGCAGTTAAGGATAAACAGAAACTAAGTGTTCTTCAGCCAGTTTTTCTGAAGGTTTGTGTTGCTACCTTTGTTGTTGCCAGTGTATATCCCTTAGGTTGAAGGCTCTCGGCAGTAGCAGCAATGTGGCTAATTTCTTTCTTAGGTCGGGGAGATGTTGGTACAGCAGGACTATGGTCTCCCTCTCTCAGCAGAACTTCCATTCCCTCTCCTCCATCATTGTCATCCTCATCATCACTCTCCTGCACATCCTCATCCTCCTTTTTTTCGTCACTGTCTACAGCCACTTGGGAATCTGAATATTGAGTAAATCACAGTAAGAAAGGTTGATAATGTGTGGTATTTGGTCACTTCATACAACAGCTCATACGTTTCCAGTGGCTCTATCATCATAAACTTCAGCTCACCTGAAGAGGAGCCACTATCATCAGCACTGTCCTCTCCCTCCGTCTCTTCCTCCGCCTCCTCCTCAGTTCCCTCTGATTCTTCTGAGGAGTCTGGTGACGCTGAGGCTGATGGCTCCTCAAAATCAGAGGCATATGCTCCTCTGTACTTTTCTAACAGATCTTCCATGCTCATTTCCCCTGTGAAACAAAGGAACCTCAAGTGACAATATGACCTCAGGAAATGACTGCTTAAATTAAACACTCTTCATTATACAGTTCAAATGTTTGTCTTGTTTTTTTTCTTCAAGAAATTAACACTTATGTTCAATTGATAAATGACAGTAAAGACATTTATAATGATTCAAAAGATTCTAAAAAATTGTATTCAACAATAATAAATCTTACAGACCCCAAACCTCTGAACAGTAATTGTTGATTTATTTAAAAAAAGCAAAAAAACAACAACAAAAAAACACTGCTATGCCTGAAAAGAATTTGAGTATTTCATTTACCCTCTCTAGCAAGGTCATCAAGTTCCTCTGCATGGTCTCCATCTCCTTCAATAACTTCCTGGGC